AAAAAAAAAAGCCTCAGGAAAAGCCTGACAAGGTACAAGGCAGGGATGTTTTCGGGAAGCCAGGTCACGACAACAGGGCAGCAGTGCAGGGCAGCCAGGCGGCTCCCGGGCTAGGCGAGCTTAGTCACGGCGCTCCCGCACCCTGCTGGGCAGCAGCACGGCTGCGGCTGTGGGTCCGCCTGCGCTCGGGTCCCGACAGGGCCCGGCTGCAGAACCCCCGGCCCGGGCTCTCATCGGCGGGAGCGCTCCCGGGGCTACGTGCGGACACCCCGGCCCAGCGCCGGGCCCAGCCGAGCCAAACACCCCACCTGCGCCCATCCCGGGAGGTGCCGCCCCCGCCCCGCTCACCGGTGGGGATGCCCAGCTCCTTGGAGCCCCTGCCGAAGCCCTTCACCACCTCCCCGCGGCAGAAGTACGGCAGATGCCTCATGGCGCAGGGAAGAGCCACCGGCACACCCGGCCCAGCGCCACCGCCCCGCTCCGCCACCGCCGCCGCCGCTTCGAGCGGGGCGCTACCAACCGCAGGGGAGGACTGGGCGGGGCGCTCTTGCTTTCCATCCATGCGGCTCTCCGGCGGCGCCCGATCCCGCCCTCCGCAATGGACCTGTCCCGCCGCATGCCCAATGCGCCCGATCCCGCCGGGAAAGGCGGCCTCGGGCGGGGCGCGAGGCTCGGCCCTGTGGAGCGGCCGTAGTGTGCGGCAGGCGTTTGTGAAAACTGCGAGAGGAGAGCTTTTTGTTACAAAAAGGGGTCACACTGAAACAAAACCGAAACCCTCAAACATTCTTACTCACCTCTGATTTACCAGCAAGCTTACATTCCTTTTCTTTGTCACCAGTAGTGCAGGGATCTCCTATGGACAAAAAAGCACCAAGACGGAAGTGCTCTTCCTGTGTTCACTCTAGAGAACTTAAAGAAACATGAAGGGTAACCGAGCATTTCCCTTTCTTTCATTCCTGTTGTTTTTTATCTTTCTATGTTGATAATGCTTTTTAATGTGTTTAGGTGATTAACATTTTTCTGTGGCCCCATCTGGCTCAAATAAATTTGAGTTTCCCTAAGTTCAAAATAGTATTAAGTGTGAAAAATGTCCATAACCTTTGTAAATTAGAGAGCAGCTAGCCCGCCAGCAGTCAGTCAGTGTTTGTATCAGTGATACTTAAGGCCATTTGAGTTCTGGGATCTCATTCAGCACTGCTATTCTGCACATAAGCATATTTGTGTTTAAATGCACAAATCTAGAAACACCATCAAAATAATTCCCTGAAGTGAATTTGCAGTCTTTTCCCCTTTCTAGAACACAGTTGCTAATTTCGCCAGTTTTGATATAGGTTACAAAAACATTTCAGGACTTCCTTTTAATTTGGTTAGCTATTTTTTAATGCGGAAAGGCTTGTAAACACCTATGACTTGTGCTCGTATTTAATTGCATTCCAGGTTAATAATTTTCAAAAAACGGGACCAGTTCTGAGAAACTGACTTATACGTCATGTTTATAAAACACTGACTGTTACCACTTTATGGAAGCTGTGGTCGCAAGCTATTTTAGATAAGAAGGCAAAACCAAATTTTAAAAGTGATTTTTACCTAAAACATTACCTCTTCTGTTTCTTTTATCTCAATTCCCCACCATCCTTTTCGGGCAAATGTTTAAATTAATTGCTTCAGTTTGAGTAGCTTTGACTGACTTAGAGAATCACCACATATGTAGCTGTAACTGAGCGGTGGAAAAGTGGAAGAGGAAGATATCCTGATTATGCTACTACAAGATTTATTCTGTACTGCTCTCTCTGAACGTGTAGAAAATAATGTTACAAAAAGTGTTTTAAGTGATATTTCATAATGGAAGTGTCTTGGATATTAAGTTCAAATCTTGAAGTCATCGCCTAGTTGCTTAACTAATGACAGATCATTAACAGTTGACAGTGTGACCCCATGGCCATTAGAATTGCTAGTTTATTTCAGCCGAAGCAGAAGAAATAAAAGCAAAAAACCCCCTTATTTTCCAAAACTTGTTTCTTTCTGATAGTAATGAATTATGCAGCAGGTTCGTATTTAAGGACATACATATTTGTGTTCTTTCCTCTCCTCCCCACTTTTTTTTTTTTTTTTTTTTTTTTTTTTTTTTTTTTTTTTTTTTTTTTTTTTTTTTTTTTTTTTTTTT